GAGTGTTTTTGCAATTTTAGGAGTGGTTCAACAATTGCTGCAAGTTTTAACCCCCATTTTCGTAATCAGCGCCCCAAAAAACATATAAGATGGCTTAGTTTGCAAAACAACAAGTACAGTCGAAAAAAAACCCTATTTAGGGGTGTATTTTGCAATTTTAGGGGTGTTCCAACCACTGCTGCAAGTTTTAACCCTCATTTTCGTAATCAGCGCCCCAAAATACGTAGGGGACAAGTGGTCTCGTTAAGTACGGCGTTTTTCGACCTTCTACCGTTATTTTAAAAAGGTTTTATCATCCTCGCTGTTATCGGAAAATGGTTCATCCTGATCGTCGTCTGAGTCTTCTTAAGCAGGACACACATAAAATGGATCGGTGCATTCTGAATTGCAAATACCACAAATCCACTTTTTGCACTGCACACATTCGATCCAGTCACCCCTTGCTCTGTAGTTTTTAAAAAAGCGTGAGGCAAATAGCACATTTATCGTTTAAATCGCTTTTACCTTGCAAACTTGCTCTTGTTATGTTAATGGGACAATATTTAGGTTTCTTGGCTTTGTTTGTAACTACTTTTGATGGCCCTGGAGGGCTTTCAGAAAAACAAGGCAATTCTTCGTCGCTGTTTGTTGCGGGGGATAGAGATTCTGCTGCATTTTGGATTTCATCACTGGGGATTGACTTGTCTTCAACAGTCATCTGCTTTCTAGCTACGAACTTCTTTCCCCTTTTTTTTTTTTTTTTTTTTTTTTGATCTTCGCTTGTTCCCCTCATTTCTTTGAAAAACTCCACCAACGTCGAATCGAGCACTCGGGAAGTTTCCTCCACATTTTCAGACAATCCTCCAGGAATCTTTCTTAACACTTCATTAACATTCATTAGGTATAATCCTGTCGTTATGAATCCAGATATTAAATTTGCTTTTACAGTGTCCGAAATTTTGTTCCACAAAGTTGAAAGTAACGAGGGAAAGTGTTCTTTGGGTAAAGTCCCAGAATATCTGCTTTCTCTTCGCCATTTGTCTAATATTTCGCGCCACTTCCTCTTGGGGTGCAAATACAGAGACATCCAGTGGCTGCATTAAAAGAGTGGCATTGGCTGGAAAGGGGCACATGTATACATTATTTTCTAGTGCTGCTTTAATAACCTGTGGTGAAAAATGGCTAGCCATGTTATCTCCCACTACAACTTCTCGTGTTTCCGGTTCCTTGGTTGCCGTTATGTGGGGTAAGAGGAATTTAAAGAACCATTGCTCGAAAAGATTTATGTCGAACCATCCGGAAGGGCTGTTCCCACAAACAGTACCAGTGGGTCCTCCAGTACATCAGTTTTCATATAAATTGGCGCTATTGTACACAACATTAGGTGGAAGGAGGTCTCCAGCTGCATTACCACAGACCATTATGCTGACACAGGACCGAGAATAGTTTTGTACCCGTTCTACTCTACGAAAGTTTCTGGGAAACATTACCTTCTTTGCACTGAGATCATCGGCGATATTAGTGTCATCATAAGTGTATAAGTTTTTGTTGTCGATGTCACCTAGAGCTTCTCTTATGTTGTCAAAAAACTGAATTATGTCTGTCCTATCTACGGAAGAACGCGATTTTTTAATATTTGTTGCGATTCGTGTGGAAAGATTGTTTTTTTTTTTTTTTTCATAAATTTTTCGACAAAATCAGGTCCAGGATAATTGTCTTTGAATATACGCACTGTTTTGCCCTGTTTATCTAAGAATTTCTTAAGTACCGCACGAATATCACACTTGGTTAATGGAAACCCCCATTTTGCCACTTGACATAATGTGTCACGAATCACTTGTTATTCACCGGCAGTGAGAACACTTGGATGACATACCCACCGTTGGTGTCTACCAAGAGACTTATTTTGAAGAGTTATTTGTGGGATTTTGTAAACAATTGCAGCCCTCTTAACAGGCATTCCATCATCAATGGCCTGAAGCGCATTTGTTAAATCTTCGTTCGAATAGTTTCTGTAATTCCGGGTTTCCGGAGTTTTTTGGTAGTGTCTTACCATATTTAATTACAATAGAAACCAGTATTAGTATATAGCAAAAAGAAAAAAAAAACAAAAAATGTTCATAGTGTCAAAGTTGCCCCTTGGTGTCAAATTAGCCCCGTTTGACGGTATTTGACATCAAAATGAAGCCGAGGATAAGGAGGAGTATGAGATTAAAGATAAGGATGAAGATAAACATAAATATGATCATGAAGATGATGAACATGAAGATGATGATGATGATGATGAACACGAATATGGAGATGAATCTGAAGAATAAAAAAGAAGAAGTTTTATAATTATAACGGTAAAATATTCGAAAAATAGTCGATTTATAAGTTGTAAGTCTATGAAGATTGTGTTAAAAATAAAGATGAAGAAAACAAAAGTAAATATTAATCACTACCCACCTAACATTTTCAATATTGGAAACGTCAATAAGTGACGATATAGAAAAATTGTATTTAAATTGTGACACAACGGAAATTAATCTTTTTATTAATACAACAAATGGCAATATAGGTGTACGTTTCTATAAATGACACATCCATATATGGATTTAGATAGATACTTACAATTTTTTACATTGGCTTTCTGCGAAAGACTCGAGTATTTATTACAAATTTTTTAGTTTTTGTAAATAAACTTTGTTCAGCAGAGATAATAATACAACGTTATCATCAATGAATGTGATATAATAGATCTGATATTGTGGCGCCTACAATAAAGTACATTATCTCACAAAAACCGGAAAATAATTTAAAAACATTATAAAAGAAGAATTTTAACAAGAGATGACAAATATGTAAGGTAATCTATCCCAAAAATATAGAGTGGTTTCTAAATTGATACTGCCTTTAAAACTGTGTATAGGAATCATTAAATAAACATTTTTTAATGATATGAAAAACTTTAAAAGTCACAAGGATTTAGATCTGGTGATCTTGGTTGACCACTCCTTTTCGACTAATGCACAGACCGGGATTTTAATTTTTTATTAATTTCGTTAATTTTCTTTCTTGCGTGTCCACTGTGGTGACCAGAGCTAAATCATTGCGATTTATTTCTTACCTTTGAATTTTTTGAAAAAAAATATTTGAATGACTTTTATAGAATATTTTAGAATTAAATATACAGGGGTATCCGGAAATGATGTATTTTAAATTATGGCATAGCTTATGAGGATTTGAACCCTTCAAATCAATATAGGGTGACTCATAACTATTGAGATAAAATATTTATAAATTGTTATGGTACAGAGGCACAACTAGAAATATTAGTTTATTTAATATTCTACTTTGATACAAGAGGTGCCTGTCATATAAGCGATTCCTGTTGATGCAATTCGGCTATAGTTTTTATAAATTTTGATTAAAAAATATGAAACAAACAAGGTGTTGTACTTGTTTAAACTTAAATTCAAATAAAAAATAGTAGACGAACTTGTAACTCCTAATAATAAACCCCAAAAAGTGGCACATCGTGTTTTTTACTTGCTATTGTATCAAATATATCTGTTATTTACGCTTGTAGAAGAACATTCTTTAAATAAAATTTGCTTGTGATATTTTCTTTTGTGTGTCATTGGCTTCAATTACTATGGTTATTTCACCTCGTGTTCTGTGTAGTGATGGAAACAAGACAAGACATGGAACTTCTTGTCTTGATATCAAGAGTCTTGATTTTTTCAAGATAAGAAATAGTGTGATCTTGTCTTGCCAACTTCTTGACAATCAATTTCTTGTCTTGATTATTGATTTCCGTGAAGCGTTACACACGTCATTCTACCCAAATCTTCATGAATTAAATAATGCATGGGTACTACGCAAATATCACACTAAGCTTTTTCGTTTTTGCAGTTTGCGTGTGGTGGGCAGGACTGCGGGTGGGGGATGGATCTCCATGTCTCCAAAACAAATCATAAATATTTATTAGGTATTGGGTATAGACAGTTTGAGTTTAATTGCGTAACGGGCACGTGCTAGATGCATTTTTGATAAATTTTCGTGGCGCTTTTTGTATTTATAAATTATTGAAAATGAATACGAGAAATACAAGACAAGCGTTTGGGTGACCAGATTATATACAATTGTACCGAAAGTAGTGAAGATAAGACTTCGAGAAGTGAATACAATATTTCTGGACAACAATCAACGTCTAGTTCGAGTAGTGAAAGTGATAAAGACACTAAAGTAGACAATTAATCTGGACCTTCTTCCAAAATAAACCAGGGAAACCGGAAAAGGAAATCTTCAACCGATAAAAAAGTAATCAAGAAGCAAAAAATCACTGATCACTTTAAAATTTATAGCTTAGATGATAAACAATTAAAGAATAAAATTGGTGACTGCAAAATTTGCAAAAGAAAAATGAAAAATTGTAATACGAGTGGTCTCAGACGACATATGGTTGCTTAATATCCACGGTGTGTAGTAGAGGAAAGGCTTACTGCAACTGCAACATCTTAAGCAGCTTAATGGAAAATTTTGTGGTTAGGCAAAATATTCCAATCCAGGTATGTGTGTAAATGTATAAATCAAGGTATAAATATTGTTATTACTGCTTGACAAATCTAGCTTGAGACTTGGAAATGCGTGGTAGATGGTGATTACAATTACGGATTATTTTTAGTATTTCGTTCTTTTGGTATTTGATTTTTTCGATATTTATTTATTTCGATTTAATCGATACTTTATTATTTTATATTTTCGATATTTTTGTAAGTTTTTGTTTTAGATCACTTCCAAGTTCACCCAAGAAAAATTTATTAAATTTTTAGTAAACATGATGGCCAAGAAGTATTTACCATTTAGTTTTTTTGAAGATCAAATCGTAATAGATTCGTACAAATATTTAAAAGAAGAGGTATCACTACCAAGTAGATATATTATGAAGTCAAGTATATTGAAAACTTTTGCGAAGGTACAGCAGAATGTTAAACAAGTTTTATTAGCAAATACATCAAAAATCTCATGTACTATTGATGGCTGCTCGTTTTATGGAATTACAGTCCATTTTATTACTGATGATTACAAGTTACAGTCAGTCAATCACATTAAATTTCTTACCATCGAATGCGAAGCATATATGTGTACATATTGCCCAGCTGTTTTTCAAAGTGCTACGTTTCTATAATATTGAAAACAAAATTCAAGGTGTGACAACTGACAACACAGAATCCAATTTTACTTTCACGTCTCATTCAAGCACTCTTATTCCAAGTTTTCACGCAAAAAATAATCACTTTTTATGCTTCGCACATATCCTAAAGTTAGGAGCTAAAGATCTAATGAACTTGCTTACCGATAGTTTAATTAATAACGATATTTATGACAACCCTAACGACCAGGATAGTGAATATGAAGAAGAGTCAGAATTTGAGGAAGCCGAAAGTGAAATTGAAGAAGTAATTAAAGAGCATCAGACAATTGGCGAAGAAGCTTCAAAAATCTAAACAGTTATTAGTCAAATTCCGAACTTGTTGTGAGAGAGCAAATATTGATTATCTCATGCCTGTAGTTAATATACGTACGCGCTGGAACTCCACTCTTCAAATGCTTTTATGGGCCCTAGCATGTAAATCAGCACTTAAAATTTTGTGCGACAATAATACCAAACTGACAAAATTTAGTTAAAGTATTTAAAACCATTTAATACCCTGACAAATATGTTCAGTGGTGATACCTTTTGCACGATTTCGACAGTAGTAATCGGTATAAACTTATTGTTAGATAAATTAGAGTCGTGGGTCAAAACAATTGATTGTCAAGAATGAAAAACCGGAAAGAACATCTACAGATGAAAATATTATTCACACTGAATGCCTCAAGAGATAAAATACTGAAACACTACTGTTTCAATAATTTTAGATCCTCGACATAAAAAGGAAACTTTTAAACATACTAATTGGGGTAAAGATTTGCAAGATATGTCTGTGTCGACATTTGAAAATATGTATAGAGATTTATATTACCAGGAAGATGAAAATTTCTATACCATCAGATAAGAATGGCAGAAATAATAAAAATAATATTTTAGATGAGGTTGACGATGATTTTGAAGTAGGTTTAAGTTCACTTTTTGCAAATACATCTGAAGAGGAACTTACAGAACCATGGAGAAAGGAATTGGATGAATATTATAACAGTCCAAGAGCTGGGGAAAAGACAGACGTGATTAATTGGTGGTGGAAAAATGAGAAAACTCTCCCCAATTTGTCAAAAATGGCAAGAGATATTTTGTCCATTATATCCACCTCTGCACCATCGGAACGACTTTTCTCAAAGAAAGCCCTTGTGATTACCAAACATAGGAATCGCTTGACAAACCAGTCAAGTAAAGTCATTTGTGCCTGAATTCTTGGCTGAATAATTTATTTTTTAAAAAGTATTTTGACTAATAAACAGTTTCCATTTTCATTATTTTTTTTTTCAAATACAATCTTGTGTTAAATGTTCTTATTCTTACACTTCAAATAAACTGCTAAAATTTTAATAAACTGAGATTTTATTTACAAAAAGTTAACTTTTTTAAGAATCAAGACTTCTTGATTTTTGACAAGACTTCTTGATTGTTGACAAAATTTCTTGATGCCTGATGATTGACTCTTGTCTTGTTCTTGTCTTGTCTTGATTTCCAAAATCAGACTCTTGTCTTGATTATTTCTTGAAATCAAGACAAGAAAAAGACAAGAACTCTTGACTTCTTGAAATTTTTCCAATACTAGTTCTATGTAGGCTTTGTTACTGTTTTCCCAGCGCCACTTTAGAATCAGTACTGTTAATGAGAACCCAACAGTAAATAGTCGTGTGGGGAATCGTAACAAGGCATCAGAATTAATTTTAAATCATTAATTTAAATGAAAATCCCGGCCAACGGTGGGATTCGAACCCGAGACCCTTGGATCTCTGCCTTATTATTTTAAATAATTTTTGTTTATACACAATTTTCTTATAATGGCCCGTATTCGAGAAATTTTAAAAAATGTGCAAATTTGGAATTTTGAAGATAACGGATAGAGATAAAAACGCCAAATTAATAAATTTGGGCACAATCGAAGCATCTAGATGTCATTTTTTGACTGTAAGAATGATACGATTGGCAATAAATATGATGTGTGTGATACAATAAGTTGTACAAAATAAACGAAAAAAGCCTGTAATAACTAGACAAGCAAGTCATGTGTTGGACACAGTTCTTTTCCTAAAGATATTTCATTGGCTTAAATTAAGAACTTCATATGTGTCCAAAATTAAATACTCAGTGAGTTATAATTAGGTTTTATTAAATACGTTTCCAAATCTCTAAAATGTTCATCGTGTTTTCCTCGAAAACATTACAATTTTACGTAAAAATTATGTTTAGATATATCATGTTACTAATCAAAATTATTAAAAAGTTTCGACAAAAAAATATGTGACCTAATTTCACCATCAGGAGTTACCATATATGGCGCCCCCTATATCAGTATATAAAATAATTAATAATATAATATTCCTTGTCTAAATTTATACCTCTTTAATAATTTATTATAACGATTCATAAATACAGGGTGATTCACATAAGAACCGACATAGAGCAGGGGCATATAGGGGGTCCCAAAATATGGCAATTTAACGCAACTTACCTCTATACCAAGTTGCTTCCCTAAGGAGTTATAGTCTTTGAAAGTGAAGTTATAAATTTTGAAAAAAAACAATATCTCCGTTATTCTTGAACTTAAAGCAACCAAATTTGGTACACTTTGTGGATGTATTTAGGGCGTTACTTGATAGTAACTACAGTTTAATTGAAATTTGTAAAGGGGGTATACTGAGTGGCGCACCATTAATATTCAACAGAATTTTGTTAACCCTTGATGGATTTTAAAAATCTTTGCTTTGTTTTGTGGGCAATTCAATTCCTAAACTTTTCTAACTCTAGTAATTTTTCGAAAAAACTCATCATTTTCATCAAAAACTCGAATAACTTAAAACGCGCGCTCTAGGTGTGTTATTTAAAATCAGCGAAAATTCAAAAGTTGGCTATGAAAATAAACGTCAAACAAGAAAGTAGGTCATTTAATGTGATCAGTAGGAATTGGCTGGCAAATTATTATTTAGATACGTAACAAAATAACTTAAAGTAAGTACAGATACTGAAATGTGAAAAACTGGGATTAACAACTAACCAAAATAAACACAAAAAACTTAAACAACAACCAGAACAAACAATTGTTTATCGATAAATTAAAGAAATTGTTCAAAATGATCGCCGTTTTCTCTTACGCATAAATTTATTCTTCTTCGAAAATTAAAATCCACTCTATCTAATAACTGTTGATTATTCCTAATAGATGTGCATTTATGAATAATGCGATTCCATAATTCTTCTTGAGACGCAACGGGCGAAGAATACACAAATTCTTTCAACGTTCCCCACAGAAAGAAGTCACATTTGTTCAGGTCAGGTGATCTTGGGGGCCAACGTTGTGGGCAATTATTTCCTCTTCCTATCCATCTATTGGGATACTGGTGGTTTAAAAAATTTCTTACGTTCATACTAAAATGAGGCGGTGCTCCATCGTGCATAAACCAATGTTGCAACCTTAGTTGTAAAGGTACCTCGTCAAGTAGATACGGAAGGGTGTTTTGTAGAAATTCTAAATAATTTTCACCATTCAGCCGATTCGGTAAAACAACAGGACCAATTAAATATCGATCAATAATTCCCATCCAAACATTAATTTTGAATTCACGTTGGAAATGCCGAGGAGTTATTGCATGTGGGTTTACGTCAGAATACTCATGATAGTTATGGAGATTTGTGATACCTCTACGAGTAAAAGTCGCCTCATCCGTAAAAAGAATTTTCTTTTGGAAGTTATTATCTTGGTGTAGAATAAACTGACAAAAATTGACACATTGAACCAAATCTCCGGGTAAAAGTTCTTGGACTTTTTGTACATGATAAGGGTGTAGTAGATTGCGACGGATAACTCGATGCACAGAACTCTGCGATATACCAATTTGTCGAGATAAATTCCTAGTACTAATATTTGGATCATCTTTAATAGCATTTAAAATGGCTACCTCAACTTGTGGCCTGAGTGCGACAGCACGTTCTCGAGTATTATTGAGAAACTTGCCCGTTTCTCTAGCTCGTCTTTCAACATTAGAAAATGTTTCTCTATGGGGAATGATACGGTTAGGAAATCTTCTACGATATTCTTCTACACTCCTTCTACAGTTTCCTTCACAAAAACCTAGCACTAACAGCATGTCAACTTGCTCGTTAAAAGAAAACTTCCCGTTCATTTTAAAAACACTCAAACAACAATTACTTAATTGAACAACTTACTTGCTTCATTGTCAAGTTTGACGTTTATTTTCATAGCCAACTTTTGAATTTTCGATGATTTTAAATAACACACCTAGAGCGCGCGTTTTAAGTTATTCGAGTTTTTGATGAAAATGATGAGTTTTTTCGAAAAATTACTAGAGTAAGAATTAAATTGCCCACAAAACAAAGCAAAGATTTTTAAAATCCATCAAGGGTTAACAAAATTCTGTTGAATATTAATGGTGCGCCACCCAGTATACCCCCTTTACAAATTTCAATTAAACTCTAGTTACTGTCAAGTAATGCCCTAAATACATCCACAAAGTGTACCAAATTTGGTTGCTTTAAGTTCAAGAATAACGGAGATATTGATTTTTTTCAAAATTTATAACTTCACTTTCAAAGCCTATAACTCCTTAGGGAAGCAACTTGGTATAGAGGTAAGTTGCGTTAAATTGCCATATTTTGGGACCCCCTAATATGCCCCTGCTCTATGTCGGTTCTTATGTGAATCACCCTGTATATTATCAAAAAAATAAAAAAATGTATATTTCAACTTTTTCCACACTAACATTTTATTACTCTGTCCCAAGAGTTATGAGTACCTGTATACTTGCAAAACTTCGTATGAAAAGGAAATTAAATAAAACACAATTTAAAAAAAATAAATAAATCAGTCTTTAATTCAATCTAGCCATTGATGGAGATCTTTAAATAATTTAAAACATTCGTCGATAAATTTTTTGAAGCTTTGCAGAAGCTGCTTATCGAACAAGTCAGAATATGTATCTTGCCATGGATGCGCGCAATCCCTGTACAATCTCAGATCATGAATGGATCTCGTTCTCATTTGCGGTTGTATCCTGTGAAATTCACAGACGACCAATTTCATTTCGCACAGGATTTCCGAGTAGAGCTTTTTTCTCTCGGTTTGTTCGTCTGGTATGGTGGTGTAGATTTTTTGAACAAAGATGGATAGTTTTAGTAGCATGTTGTTAAAGACGCGAATCTGGAAAATAAAAGGTATAATTTTAATTTACAAAAATTAAGTTTTTGGCGGGTTAATATCTCCAAAATATCTACTAGTCATGTCTAAAAAAATGATATTCTATTTACAAGTTCACCTTTTGAGAG